TTAACGATTAAACCTTCAAAATGTACTTTCGGAGTAGATAGTTTAAAATTTCTTGGATTTCAAGTTTCCAGTGAAGGTATTTCACCTTTTCCAGATCGAGTCAATGCTATTCAAAACTTTCCTAGACCTAACACTTTAACGCAATTATGTAGATTTTTAGGAATGTATAATTTTTATCGAAGATTCATTCCTAAAGCAGCCCACATTTTAGCACTCCTAATAAAATTTTTAGGTCACACAAACAAAAAGAAACCATGTCGTCCTTCGAAAAGTCCGCAAACTCCTCTTGAATGGACTGAAGAAGCGGAAAATTCATTTACCGCTGCTAAAACAGCATTAACTGATGCAACTCTTCTTAAACATCCGATTCCTGGTGCTACTTTAAGTGTTTGGACCGATGCATCAAATTTCGCCATTGGTAGTTCCTTGATGCAACTTTCTAATAGTAACTGGAACCAATAGCATTTTTATCTTTAAAACTTTCTAAAACTCAACAAAATTGGTCTACTTATGATCGAGAACTTTTGGCAATATATACTTCAATAAAAAAAATTTAGACACATGCTTGAAGGTCGCGAATTTATTATATATACTGATCAAAAACCCCTAACATACGCTTTCAAGCAGAAACCAGATAAATGTACCCCACGTCAACTAAGACATCTCGATTATATTTCACAATTTTCCACAGATATTCGCTATGTAGTTGGAACAGAAAACAAAGTTGCAGATGCATTATCTAGAGTAGAAATTGATGCAATTATAAAACCACCCATTTTAGGCTACAAAAAGTTTGCTCAAACACAACTTCATGATTCTGAAATTCAATCTTTCCTTAAAGCAGATTCTTCTATTAAACTAGAAAAACAATATTTTCCCCTTGAAGACGTTTCTTTATATTGTGATAAGTCACTTGAAAACCCTCGACCTTTCGTCCCTAAAAATCTCAGACAAGTGGTATTTCAAAATCTGCATTTTCTATCCCATCCTGGAATATCCGCTACAACTAATTTAATTTCTAAGCGTTTCTTTTGGCCAGGAATAAGAAAAGACATCGAAAATAGAGTTCGAGCTTGTGAAAAATGTCAGCGAGCAAAAGTATTCAAACATACCAAAGCTCCACTTAACACATTTGCTCTACCCGATGCTCGATTTGTCCACATTCATATTGACTATATTGGACCCTATCCACCATCCAAAGGATATAAATATTGTCTTACCATCATAGACAGGTATACCAGGTGTGTGGCCTGAAGTTATTCCTACCGAAGACATGTTGGCAGAAACCACTGCTCGTGCACTTTTAAATGGTTGGATTTCTCGTTTCGGCACACCTGTTATGATTACAACTGATCAAGGAATAAATTTTGAGTCTTCTCTAATGAGAGAGCTTACAAACATCAGGGGTAGCTATAGAATCCATTCAGCTTCTTACCATCCACAAAGTAATGGAATGATAGAACGATTCCACAGGCATCTCAAAAGTGCTATTATTGCCCATGAGGACGATGGTTGGACCGATATTTTGCCTATCGTATTGTTAGGATTACGTTCGGCAATGAAGAACGATTTAAAAGCAACAAGCTCTCAACTAGTTTATGGTACTACTTTACGTTTACCATCTGATCTCATATCTTCAGAATCTCTTCAAACGTCAGTGACACCCACTTATGTTTCGAAGTTAATTTCCATGATGAGAAAACTTAGCCCAATATCCCCTGATTCTCATAGTTGTACGAAGAGCTATGTACACCAATCATTAAGTACATGCACACACGTTTTTCTTAGAAATGACGAAATTCAACCCCCTTTAACTCCACCTTACACTGGACCTCATTTGGTTAAAAGTAGATCTGATAAAATTTTTGTAATTTGTATAAATAATAAAGATGTAATTGTCACTATAGACAGATGCAGGCCAGCTTTTGAATTTTCAGAAGATTTTAATTCACAAAAGGTTAGTTCAAACTTTGAACCACCTCTAACCAAGCAACAAATTGAAGATAAAGCTGTTGTTGATAAAAATATCAGAACCACACGTTCTGGCAGGCACGTGCATTTTCCTAAGAGATTAACTTACTAATTCAAATTCTTTCTTAGTAATTTATATAAGTATATCTTTTATTGTATTGTGTATATAAATAATTGTATGTGTTATTGCAATTTATGTATTTTATAGTGCCTTATTTTTGTGTAAACAACAAACATTTTTATATTTGTATATTTTTTTATGCCGTTCCCTTCGTCACTGGGGGGATACTCTGTAGTGTACTTTCATAATATATCGCATCATCATTACTCATAATGACGGATCATCCTTACTCATAGTAACGGATTCTTGATCCTTACGTCTTATTGGTTGTTAAAATCTACTATTGAATTTCATTGGTCAGAAGAAATGCCCTCTGGCATTTCTTCTATCTTCCCAGAATTCCACTCTGACGAAGGGAATATATAAACTCGAACTTAATAATTTATGTTGGAAAATAAAATTTATTTTTGTAAAATCACTGCTATTTTACTTTGCCACTCACAACACAATACACCAAATACCCATTGGGCAATAGTCCGTATAAGCTTTAAGGTATCCGACTACGTTCGGAACCGGGATTTTGCAAATGCGTATAAATAGACAATATTTATGATATTTAGTGTCACTTAGATCAGAAAATGTATATAAAATTGTTTTAAGAATAATATTACAATAAAAAACTATTTAAGTACAATATTTTAACAAAAGATGAAAATAGAATGACCCATTTTCAAAATATTCTCCTTTTGTGAAAAATGCTTCTATTATAATAATATTTTGCCAGTATATAGCTCAGACCTCTGTACAGAGGGTCAAATAGAATTTTTGAAATATATAACTTAGAAGTGGGTTTATCCATGTTTTATACGACAACAAAGGGGAGAAATTTTAAGGGAAAAACGCCGATAATTATTTCAATTAGTTTGTGAATTTTTCGAAAATCATAGTTGAGCCTCTGTACAGAGGTCTGAGCTATATACAGGCAAAATATTATTATAATAAAAGCATTTTCACAAAAGGAGAACATTTTGAGAAAAGGTTATTCTAAGTTAATTTTTTGCCGAAATATTGTATTTAAATAATTTTTTTTGTCAAAATATCCTTAAAAATTTTTTATACATGTATTCTAATCTAAGTGACACTAAATATCATGAAAATTATCCATTTATGCGCTTTTTTAAAATCACGGTTCCGAACGTAGGCGGATACCTTAAAATTTATAAAACCTGGAAAACTAAACAAAATAGAAAACGGTTTGAAGATTTAGCATCGATAAGTCACGGGATTTTTTTTTTGAGATAAGAAAAATAACCTGTCGACAGAGGGCGCTAGTACAAACGACCGAGTTGGAAATATGCAAATGAGACAGGCGATTACAAATACGGATCTTGATCCAGATCAAATTCTCCGTTGCATGCCAACTAAGGGAACAAGGGTACTGAGTGAGAAAGACAAAGCTTTGTTGGTGAAGCTATTTTTCATGAACAAGGAGTCAGCGACTGTAGCACTGCGTAAATTCCTCCTTCAGAAAAATGTGAAGAAGGCCTTCAACAGTGGTACGCCTCATAAAGCTTGTTCAGCGATTTGAAGAAATTGGATCGCTCGAGGATCGTGTAAGATCCGTACGACCAAGTCTAAGAATCATTAGCAAACGTTGCTAGTTTACATGGCCTCCTCGGTCTTCAGATCTAACTCCAGTAGATTTTGGCTGTGGGTATATTAAAATTCCTGGGTGTATTGATCTCGTCCATCCAATCTATCGGAATTGAAAGATGCGATCCACCGAGAGCTGTCATGTATACAGGCGGACATTCTGCACTCTGCCGTTGCTGGATTTGTGACACGCTTGGAATGTGTCATCCCTTGTGGTGGTGGATACGTGGAACACATGCTGCTGTAATAAATGATTTTGTAACAATATTTCTGTTATTTGCGTGCTTTTCTTTCACTTATGTACGAACGCCACCTATTGGTTATTTTTTAATTTTTTTCTCTTCTTTTCTTGTCTTAAAAAAAACCTGTGACTTATCAATGCTAAACCTGCAAACCGTTTTTTATTTTATTTTATTTTCTGGGTTTTATAAACTTTTAAAGTTTATACGAACTTTCTGTCCAACCGGTAGTTACCACTGTATATGACACCCTGAATCCTATTAGTGGATTGGCTTGGCACGCCACAGCTAAAAGGTTTCAAAACCTGTTCAAAAACCTTTGGCGAGAACGAGACATTTAGCAAAAATATTAAGAAAAGAAATCAGATGTCAATGTGAATGCTATATGTTAGAAATGAGTGTATACAATGTGTTAAATAAAATGAGTGAATTTAATACAGCATATATTTATGTTAAATGGATGAATGATATAAGTATAAATTTTGTTAAATATATAAATGCAAATGTACATATCTAAAAATTTGTTCAGTTCGAGTTTTCATCACTTTTTGTAGGGTTTTTTAGAATTAAATCTCGTTGGAGTACCTATCCCTGTTGGACTTTAACCTCCAATCTTTGAAGTTCAAATGACTGTGAAGTTGTTTACACTTGCTCACTGATAGTTCAAAATACATTTACGCAAAAATATGAGAGTTAAATTTCAAGAATTACTTTCAGATAAATAAAGTAAGTTACTTCGTTATCATAATAATAAGTTAAAAATTAAGCTTTTTATTTCATCTCACATGATTTTTTGATAAACATGGAACACATCATCATTTTTCAATTCCTACTATTAGTTCACACTTCTCCCTATATATATATTTATTTATTTATAAATAAATATCTTGTTCAAAAAATTTCAATCGTTATAAAAACAATTTTTATTCATCCACTCAAGTTCAAATACATTTTTTAAACTTGTAGTGGATGATACTTAATGTTACTACATTTATTCAAATATTAATCCTTTAATAAATAGTAACAAACAAAAATAATAGTCCAACACCATATATAAAAAGGAAAAAACTCGTTGTGTCCCAGTAGCGCAATGGATAGCGCGTTGGATTTGTAATCCAAGGGTCGCGGGTATGAATCCTACCTGGGATGGCCTGGTTTCTGAGAATGTGATATATGAATGAATAAATAGTAACAAACCAAAATAATAGTCCAACACCACATGTAGAATGGATCTACATGTGGATCTACTTTGTCTCTTAATATTGTGACTCTGTCTTGTGTATGTACATATTTATATTAATTGTAATTATTTAATAAAAAGTAACTAAAATATAAAATTTTCCTTTGTTGACCCAAAGTAGAAATTTTTTTTTATAAAGTGTTTTTTTTAGAGGTATAGAACTTTAAATTGCAATAAAACAACGATGTATTATTAGATTGACATGAATTTTTTTTATTCGAAAGATAATCTTGCGGCATTACATTTTAAATATGATTTCTGGCATAGGACTGCCACGGCTGGCTCGGATGTAGTCCAATCTGGACGTCCAATTTTCGATGACTTTTTCCAACATTTGTGGCCGTATATCAGCAATAACACGGCGAATGTTGTCTTCCAAATGGTCAAGCGTTTGTGGCTTATCCGCATAGACCAATGACTTTACATAGCCCCACAGAAAATAGTCTAGCGGTGTTAAATCACAAGATCTTGGAGGCCAATTCACAGGTCCAAAACGGGAAATTAGGCGGTCATGTATTTCAATAAATCGAGTAGAAGCTGAAACATGTTGCACCGTCTTGTTGAAACCACAGCTCCTGGACATCATGATTGTTCAATTCAGGAATGAAAAAGTTAGTAATCATGGCTCTATCACCATTGAATGTAACGTTGTGGCCTTCATCGTTTTTGAAGAAGGATTCCACCTGCCCATAAAGCGCACCAAACAGTCAGTTTTTTTGGATGTAACGGTGTTTCGACATACACTTGTGGATTAGCTTCACTCCAAATGCGGCAGTTTTGTTTGTTGACGTAGCCATTCAACCAGAAGTGCGCTTCATCGCTAAACAAAATTCGCTTATGAAAATCGACCATTATTTTCGAAATAAAACTGCACAATTTGAAAGCGTTGTTCAGGCGTGAGTCTATTCATGATGAATTGCCAAACCAAACTGAGAATAAATCACTTGACAGCTGTTAAATCGGTCGCCATCTTGGAAAGTAATGCCAACTTAAACTTCTATACCTGGAAAAAAAACACTCATTATTACTTGTTACTATACAAATCGCATCTTTTTGAACGAGTTGTATAATAAAATCATTTTTGTCATCTTTCTGAGTTTAGGGAACTCTTTATGTTCTTTACATTAGAAACTTTGGATACGACATTCAGCAGTGTTATTTTGTAATAATTTTTGTTTTTTTAAATTTAATAATTATGGTGTAAATTCAGGCAACAAAATTTATGAGTTTAGCATCTTCTTTATAACATTTATCTTCCTCTCTACTAGTTTTTTAATCACTATCTACCTTGTTACCTTTTTAATGATTCATTTCAATCTATCAGCAATATTTTAATAACTATTTACATAATTTTAGTCTCCGTCTTAAAGACCTGTAAGATGTGAAATGTTTGACTTAGCTTCACTTTGCGCCAAACGTAATGGATTGTAAAATACGTCCAATTATGCAATATAAACCCTGAGTTTTCCCAAAGAAATGAAACTAATGCTCAACATAGTATATAGGTAAAAATATATGATATAAGAAATATATTAAATAATTTAAACATTTTAAGGTGGGGTTTTTTCTTTGTTGTTGTATAACAGTAGAAAATATAAATAATTAAAACATTGTAAAATCACATACATAAGATTTATTTTTACGTGTCTTAATCTTTATTTTGAAAAAGTGGTAATAAAAATCAATTTCGACCGGTATTTTGTAAAGGTTTGGCCTGTGTTTATAATTGCAAAGGTTATAATGAAATGCCGTTTCAAGGAGGTTACAATGTCATTTTTCAATTCCTACTATTAGTTCACTTCTCTCCCTATATATATTTATTTATATATATATATCTTGTTCAAATTTTCAATCGTTAATAAAATACTCTATATATTTATCCACTCAAGTTCAAATACATTTTTTAAGCTTGCAGTGGATGACACTTGATGTTAATACAGCGTTTTCAAATATTTATTCATTAATTAAATTTTATTTTTTAATTTTAAATTTTTCTGCGTTATGTGTGACGAAGTTAGAACTAGCACCAACAGATGGTGCCAGTAAGTTTTTCTAACGAATTTTTTCTTGGCTTCAAATATATTTTTTTAAACTTGCAGTGGATGGATGGCACTTGATGATGATGCAATTTTTTTCAAATATCAATTCATTAATTAAATTTAATTAACTAAAGTAAAACTTTTCTTTGTTGACGTAAGGAGGAATTGACTTGTATATGACTGAAATATGACTTGTTTTCCCATTAAATGACTTAAACTTTTATGAATAGATATGAAAAATATATTCACGAATCCTTTTTAAATATTCTTCATTGTCTAAGACAATGGCGCACACAGGGGGGGACCTTGGGTTTGGAACCCCCCCCATAGCTCTTGATTTTTTTTTCGATTGATTATAATCCTACGTACCGCAAAATTCGGTGTATAACGCGCACTTTGAACACAAAAAATAAGATTGAAATTTAAGGGTGCGCGCTATACGCCGGGTATAAGAACGATAGCTTTAAAAATAACAAAAGAGATGAGCATAAAAACAAATTTACTTCTACATGTATCGATTGATTGATTGATTGAATATTAACGTCGCACTGTTCAGCTACACGAGGGCTTTTGGCGACGGACCACGTAATTTTGAACCATGGTCAAGTGACGTGGACGACACCTGAGCTGGCACCCCCCTCTCCTAACTGCCACACCACACCAACGGGAGGACGTTTCAGCTCTCGACAGATTTAACGTTGTAACGTCACTTCTCGAAAACATCAACATCTAGTCGGCTTTCTTTGTGGACCCGACACCCACACGTGCATCTGCAGGTGCAAGGCAACCCCTCTTTGACCCCCGAGGAATCTAGCCCGTCGACCGGAAGATGAGGGAGAGATGCTTTGAACTTGCACGAGAGCGGTGACCAACGGATCCTCCTCTCACAAAATATTGGACTCTAACAATCTGTAATTAAATTTAATAACTTTAATGTATCATTTAGTAAATAATTTTCAATAGTTGTGACGTAAATAAATTCCATATTTTAATTAACCAAGAATACGCAACCGTTATTCTTTCAAACGTTACAACGTGAATCGCTGCCCTACACGGGGATCTTTAGTGATACTGGGCTCGAGCTCGTGACAAGGCAAGCCACGGTCCGATACCTATACCACTCGGCTACCGTGGCCACCTACATGTATCGAAACACTGTTTATTAAGATATATTAAAAATGAAATAATTTACATCCATTTCAGAAGGTGAAAATATTGAACATCTTTATTCCGCTCACTCCGTTTTTAATTTTTATTTCCCTAGCTGGCTCTACAGTTCTAAGGCAACTCTTTAAATCCATCATATGATTTTTATTTCATTGCCAGATGCAACAGGATAAAAGACTACTAATCTGAACTTAAAAATTTCGACATGATTTATTTCTATGACAAATAGAACTAAATACACTACTCGCAACGATGTTCTCGTTGAAAGAGTAATAACATATCCTAGCTCATCTGCCTTTCTTCATCCATCAACACCAGTTACTATAAGTTGCAGTTCAAGAAGTATATTTAATTATGTATTTGTTACTAATAATTAATGTTATTAATTAACGCTGATGATTCATTCAATAATTTTTTTGTTTTTTGTTCCCGAAAATCGACAAAATCAAAAGAATATATTGGGCGGCGTATGGGAGCATGATACGAGAATGGTGGACTTCCAATCCTGGAACCCCCTTGAAAAAATTCCTGTGTGCGCCACTGGTCTAAGATAATATTTAGCAAATAAGTTTTCCTTTTTTTCCCCTACTAGGCTGCATATTGACAACTAAGCTTTTGTAGATACGACAAGTCTCAAAATTGTTTGAGCCATTTCATGGTGGCACCATCAAACGGCGGCTAAAATGGCAGATGCCATCGTGTCACTCTGTACATGATTTACAGTTGGCTGTTCCAAGATTTGTGGGCCCATCTGCCTCAGGACAACATAAGATGTCTAATCAACTCAATGCCGTACCGTGTGGTGGCATGTATTGCAGCTGGAGGTGGTCCAACGCGCTATTGAAGTTGCCCAGTATTTGTGTCGCTGCATACCCTGTATTCGTTTAATTGTCTTGTTTTTGAGATAAAGTGTATCTCTCATCTGTGTCATTATGTGTATTAAATTTCATTTCAATCCGATGCTTTCTTCTTGGGTCGCTATTTTCAATGTTCCTGAGTGTATATTTACAACAAAAAGCAGCCTTTCACACAAAATCATTTCCCTCGAGTAATTAAATGGTACGACGTTAATATTCATTCACTTATTCACTCTAAATCAAATGTTAAGCCATGATTAAGAATAGAATATTTGATTTAAAAACGTGTAAAAGTATATATAGTAAAAGATTTCATGAACAATGTAAAGAAACACTTCATCTTGATGTACAGAAATAAAATTGAATTGTACAAAAGAAACGGAATATATATAAATTATTGCCAAGTTAGCTTGTTAAATATAATTTGTTAAAGCAGTCAGCATAGAAAACTCGGTCCTCTATTAAATATATAATGTGATACATATTAATACAATAAGACCAATAGAAAATAACCAATGATACTAATTACTTGTCGGTCCGCTACCCTCCAAAGGCTTATTTGACGCAATTGCAATTGCTAGAAATAGGCCCGGCCCCTTTTGACGGCAAATAATATTTTATCCAAGATATTACGGTATATTACAAGTCTTACAGTGTTAAAAATGGGCTATAAAGAATAAAAAATGGACTGAAATTTGACGAAGCAGTTGAAGATAGTGTAACATTCATTTGAAAAATCATTCAAAACGTGAATGGTACTTGTCTTTTCAGTAGAAAAAATAGAATATGCGGAATAGAATAGAACAGGGGTACTCAACCCTTTTTTCTGCTGGGCCGCAAGCATAT